AGAATCATGAAAGAGATTTTTTTTTTTTTATGATCTGTGATTTAGAAATGGGAACCAGGCAGTTCTAAGCAAAACTGCTAAAGGTCTTAAAGTCTCCATGAGATGGTGAAGTAGCATTGTGATCACTTTCTTTTTGTTTAGGAAACTGACCTCCCCATCCTACTCACACAAGTACTTCCATGATTCATTTTCCCTGCTTCCATATTAACCCTATCAAAATGCAGATCTTTAATTTCTCTGGTACTGTCCCTCAGGGTAAGTAGTGTCTTGGTACTCAGCAAAGCCATGGACATCTGCAGGACAGTTCAAAGCAAGATGTGACACCTTCAGCACAACTGCCATGGTACAGTTCTGAGCATGGGAATTACTTTTCCCATGTTCCACAATATTTTTTTCAACTATCAGCTTCTTGGAGCAGAAATACTATTTTCCTTTGTATAGTCTCTAACATGTGAGGAATATTTACTGCTTATGACTTACACACATTTGCAGGGCTAGATTCACATAAACTTAATTTTTATGTTGTTGCGAGTTATTTGGCTGCTTTGAGTAAATGCAGATAAAAAATTCTCTATTTCTAATTCATTGTTATCCTCATTAATGAGCTGCAGCTGTGAGCATCATCTGGCTCATTTTAGAACTCTTTAATTGCTGTATTACATCATGCCTTTCACTCAGTTTGTTTGTCAGGTTTGACTATGATGTGAAATATATGGATCTGGTTGCCACATGCTGGAATTTAACATAAGCATCTAAGTGTTTACTCACTTCAGCTATGAGGGAGACTGGGATTAATTATCCTAGCAAGCTTCCAGTTTGTGATTATTTAGGTGCAGTCTTGCAACCTGATGTATACAGCATGGTATAGAAGGCAGAGTAGATGCAGGTACAGGCAGTAACACCCTCCCTTTGGGGAAAACAAACAAAAAACCCAAACCATCACTGAATGGCTTTATGGTTTCATCCTGTAACACTCCAGGAATCACAGACAGCTTCTTGCTTACCCTGATTTTGTGCTGTGCAGATCTGAATGGTCTGGAAATTAATGACAGTTCTTTTTTGACTGTGACAGGGATGTAAACTGGAGAAATAAAGAAGGTGCATATGGAGTCGGAAATTAACATATACCCTGTTGGCAGAAATAGCAGAATGCAATTTATTTAGCTAAAACCTCTGCAACATTTGTGCAAGTAGGCAGCAAAAGGCTGGAGTGGTGCCAGCAGTTCTGTGATGTTAAGCAGTGTGTGTCAGGCAGTGCTGCCCCCTTACCTTTGTCAGGGAAGCTTTGTCTCTCTGGATTGTACAGTAGCAGCAGCTGCCTGACTCTAATGAAGACTTTGACCGATCCTACAGCCTGGAGTGAAACTGCTTGTGCTGGCTGTGGCCATTATTTAAAAACCTTTCCAGGCTGCCAGACGTTTCTTTGCAGTTCTTTGGAGCTGAAAATGAACCAAATGTGATCCATCTCTGATCAGGTAGCTCAGTGTCAGGAATTAACTGGCCTGCAGTAACAAACGAGCCCCATTGGAGCGACTCAATTACCGCGATCGCCGCCCTCTGCTGCTGACAGCTCCAGAGAGCTGCTACCACTCCTACCTGGCAAAGGCTGAAAATAACTGCTATTTTTAAACACAAGCAGTCCATTTTTGCTGGGCAACTGGCTCATCATCTTTTTTTCTACATGGAGTCCTTCAGCAAATAGATGACAACCAAGCTTTCACCTGCAGCAGTGTATTAGAGTAGCTCTAATTTAGCTGCTTCTTGTAGGACTTTGTCACTACCCTGAGCCTTCCAGAGGATGAGCCTGGCACTGTGACAATGCTGCTCTGGGAAGGTTTACTTAGTCTCTCTTGGCACTTCTTTTCCATTGTTATAAATAAAAGCTCGCTTCTGTTGCTATCAAGGGTAAAATATGCCCACAAAAGAGAAAAGCAATTCCTACTTTCCGGTTTTAACACCAGATATTGCCCCCAATTGTATTATTGTCAATTAAAAAGATGCTTTCACCTGTCTGCTTTCTCTGAGTGATCACCACTGGTTCTTAGCTGGTTTCCTTTAGAGACTTCTCCTAATTCCTTTATCTGGAAAGTCTGAGCAGTTACTCTTTAATAGTTTCCTGTGTGTTACCGTGATTAACAGGTTAAAATGCATTTTGGCCATTTTAGCTGTTATATCTCTACTGCATTACCAGTTGCAAGCAGGTTTACCCAGTAAAAAAGGACAGCTGGGAGACTCAAGATTGGAATATTTGAGTATTGCTGCAATGTTCCCAAAAAGACAACCTGAATAATTTAAATATAAGTACTAGTGTCCTAGAGATGTCATGCTATAAGGTGTGGTACTCCTCTTTACAAGGCAGCAGCATTAAACCTTTTCTCCTGGTCTTCATTTATAAATGTATTTCAAATTACCAGACTTTTACTTGGATACATTACATATGTTGTTAAAAATCTGTTATGGCTGAACTATAGTTGAACCATGGACTAGTCCTTGGCTACAGAGTTGAGCTTTACAATTTGAACATAATTATTCTAATAAAAAGTATTCTAATTAGTAATAAATACAAATGTTACATATATATTGGTACCACCAATCCAAACTAATTAATACTCCTTCATGAGAATATCTTTTAAAAACGTATTTACTGCATTAGCAAGTTAACAAGGTTAACTTTTTTTTTAATGTTTAAGGGTGATTTGAAATTAAGATATTTTTAGGATAAACAGTGCAAATCACAAGAACAGCCACATACTGTATCAGAAAACTGTTTTCATCCCTCAAGTAATTTGACAGGTGAGGTGCCTTTGTTTCTACCATAGCCCTTGCCTTGGTTCAGATGGAGGATGTGTAAAATAAAGGAGCACTCGAGCTCAGGGAGCAGTAACCCAGAACTGTCACTGCTCAGGTGAGGGTGGAACCTCACTCCTGTTCAGCAGTGTGGTGTGAGAATCCAGGGCTCTGCTCAGGCTGCAGGGCTGTGTTTGTGGGACAGAGCAGGAGCCCCTGCCCCTGGTAGGTGCTCCCACAGGACCAGTGTGCTGCAGTGCCATTTGTTTAAAGGATTCCTTGTCGTTTCCCCTGTTGACTTTTCTGCTTTCTCAGCTCCTGCCCTTCCGATTCCTCTGGCAGCTGCTCCACAGAGAGCACATGGGGTTTGACAACTGATTACTCAAACCCTCAGCTGGAGATAAACATCCTTTTGAGAGGGAAGGCTGCTAGGAATGAAAGAGGAGTAGCGTCTGAACTTAAGGAACAATTATGTGTTAAACTTATTATCACTAATCTTGTATTTTAAATGTAGAAGCACCAGATTTTAATGAATAAAAGCAATGGAAAAGCTGTTGCTGTTGACAGGACAGCAGGGTTACATTTGTGACCCCTTGTTTTGTGCTGAGGGGCTGGTGGGATGCTGTGAAGCTCAATTAATGTGGTTGTTTTTTCTGTCACTGGGGCAGGTTCGTCAGTGCACATGGATCAGCCTTGCTGCCAAGCTCTCTATGACTTTGAGCCAGAAAATGAAGGCGAGCTTGGATTTAAGGAAGGGGACATCATAACTTTGACCAATCAGATTGATGAGAATTGGTATGAGGGGATGTTAAATGGAGAGTCTGGCTTCTTCCCCATTAATTATGTTGAAGTGATAGTTCCCTTGCCTCAGTGATCATGTCATTCAAGCTGTGAACATGATTTCATGACTGAAATGGATTCACAAATGTTCTGTCAGTGTGGCATTCTGTGAAAGCCTTGCTATTTGACTGACTTACTGACTTTTGTATGCGTCTTTTTAAAATGTATTTATTTTATATTCAAAAAAATTTCACCTCCCCTGATTTGTCAACCTGCAAAAAAACCCATACCCAGTTTTTTTGCTTTGTGCCTTGAAGATCACTGTATGAAGTGTTTACTGGTAGCTCACTGTTGCTCCAAAAATGCATTTCCTTGCTATTATTGTATGTGGGTTTTTTTTATCTTTGGCTGCAATGATTTTGCTATTGAAAACCATTTTAAAAAATACTGTTAGTGAAGCTAACTGTAACCAGTTCCTAAGTTACTGATGTCCTTGAGCTGTTTTCATCTATCACACCATAATTTATTGTGAACAAGTTAATTCATCTTTTGCATTGTATGTTGACAAAAGGCAAAGTGGTTGTTGTCAATATTAAGATGATGTTGTACTAAGTACAAGTTCTCAGCATTGAAAATTGGTATAATTTACTGACCAAACTGAATAAATATTTCTGTGGGGTAAGAAAAGTGGTTGCTGCTTCTGTACTGATGGTTCTGGCACTTGTTTGAGCAGGAGGTCACTTTTGCTGAATAGATCAGCTTTCAGTGACAAAAACAATGCATGAATAATCTTGCTACTTCTCTATTGCTTGTTTAGCATTTATGTCTGTTAACATCTTTTTCTAGCAGAAGGAAAAGAGAGAAATTCCTTGGAACAAAGTACAAACTGCTCCTAGTTCCATAGGGTTTGTAGAGAACTCCAGTGAGAGAAAGGGGTGAGTAGCACTGGTACCTACTGCACACAAATGAGAACTCAGTACATTTCTATTTGTTATATTTAGTTGAAAGGGATGGAAAGGAGGAGAAAGAAGTGCTGTAAAAAAATGCAATAACTAAAAACATAACAGAAAAGCCTCTAAATTAAGGAAGAAGTCTGGCATCAGAAGTACTTATCCAAATGCAGATAGACTCACTTTGGTTTTGTTTACCATCTCCTCCTTGGCTTAGTAGTTGTAGCAGTGACCAAACAAAGTGAGCAGCCCTGGAGGAAGGTGTAGTCTTTTGCCAGTTGCCCATACAAGACAGATTTGAGAAGGGAGCTGGATTCTTTACAGGGAAGCTGTCTACTGAAGATTCCTCTTAAGCTCATAGCAGTTCAGCTCTAGTTCAAGTGATAAACAGGAGAGCATAATGCATTGCTGAAGGCTTCTCCTCTCTGCAGTCCCTAATATCAGTTTTATTACAGCAAAGTCTTTTGAACCACTCAACAGAAATCAATGAACAGACAAACCTTTATTATTTAATCTGCAAATATTTAAATCCAAGACTGCTTTTATATACATGAAAAATATCTTTAATAGTTAAAAAAGTTTTAAGAAATAAAGATAAATACAGCAAAGTTAGAGCAACAGCTATTTCTATTGTTTGAGATGGAACAATAATTTGGATCTGCTAAAATCCAAGTCTTAAACCAGCATCTACTCTTGATGTCTCAAAATTAGAATTCTTAAATAATACAAGAGTTTAAGCTAGCATAGGAAAACCTCACATTAGCACCTTCATCCTCACACAGAGCAGGTCTTGAATTTGGAACTGAACACTTTGGCAAGGTAAAAGACAGTCAAAACACTACTGCAGCACTGAGAGAAATCTGCAGGCTCAGCTGCTCCCCTGCTCTCAGGTGGAAGTTTCCTTCATGTGGCTCAGAGCCCTTCCTTTCCCCCAGGGCCAGCAGGGGAGCAGTTTAGAGGAGGGACAGAGTGACAGCAGTGCCCTGGGGCTGACTGTCCCCTCCTGAGGGTGACAGGACAGCATTCCATGGAGCACAGAGCTACCAGAGTGACAGGGAGCTGCACAGTGGCCCATAACCAGTTTCCCCCAGCTGTCCCATAGACAGACACAGCTGCAGCCTGCATGGAGATTTAGCACATAAGGGCTCCAAGAGCAGCGAGTTTGATGTGCTTTTCACTACAGGTGGGGCTTTCTAGCTTTGAGTTTTGACTTAGCATGTTTCTCTCCAGCCCCTTAGAAAGCTGTTGGGACCAATCAAACAGTGCCAGCAGCACAGGTCACAGTACCTGCTCTGCCAGAATGAGATGCTTTTTCACATTTTCAGGATACATTTGTCTAAGTTAAGGCTGGCACAGCTCTGCTGTGATACACTGTACCTAGGAATATACAATACAATAGGTGCTAGACTATAGAAACAGTAACATTTAATAACAGGAAGGAATATTTTTGACAACTTGCTTTTAATTCTAAAGTGTTTCACTCTAGGAAGTGACCCAGACCAGTTTTATGTATCTCTGCATCAGGATCTGAGCAGGAAACATTTCAGACCACTCATCACTCTTCAGGACAGTGTTTTACTTCGGACTTGCTCAAGGTGCAAAGGTATGATCAGTCCCATGTTTCCCACTCAGGCTGGAAAGAGAAATTATCTTTGGAGAACTCCATGTCAGAATATTGAGAAAGCTGAGGCAGCCTCATGTTCATTGTCAAGTATCCTAGGGCACATGTTTAGAAGCTTTGTAAACTCTGTACCCTTCTGTTTCAGCAGGTCACAGAAACCAGATCCTTGTGTAAAAGTAAAAACAACTTCACATGGAGCTTGTACTCTACTGCTCTTTGAATCAGTGAATCCAAGGCCAGGGCCCAGTATCAGAAGGCAGGAGATTCCATCATGTTATGGACAATGCTTCTTACAAAGACATCAGATGGAATATGTGAGTTCCAAATTCCAGATATGACAGAAGATGTCAATACACATACAGTCTGTGTCACCTGGGACTGAGATGTGTTTTCAGATTATTGTCCACATTACATGACAGAACAGCTGGGATCTTCATTTTGCTGCAGAGAGAAAACATGAAAACATTAGGCTAATTAGCATGTGTACAAACTTAAGTATTTCTTGCTGGTTACCTACTTGAGCCTCATATAGGCAGATAGGGTTTTCAGCACTTTGTAGATTTAGTTACTTATTAACAAAGCAGAGTGGATTTTCAAGAGGCAGTACATGAACTGTACTACACAAGTCTTGAAATCCATGCAATACACGAGCCTGTGCCTTCGTAAATGAAAGGCTGTCAGACTGCCCATCACTTCCTCTCTCCCCAAGCAGCAGAACTTCAGTGGCATGCAGATACGTGCTGCCCTCGTTAGGATGGTAAAAGCAGAAGCAAAACAGGGAAACACTGCCTTCCTTTAAAGCACAGCATGCATTCTTCCCATTATTTTACTGCAGGCAACAAGGTAACTTCTGTTTACTAAGCAGCCATTTCAGTACTACCAAGGCAGCAGAAGCATATAGATACTAATATCAAAAGGTTGACAGGAATTCAGCAAACAGGAATGACATTAAAATTTGATTGGAAGTATTAGAATTGATTCTTACCATAAATGGCACACAACTGTATTGTAAAGTTGCTGATAAAACAGATTAGAAGTGTAAGGAAAAATGTTACTTTTGCTTTCCATCACTGATTATTGAACAAGTCATATAAGTAAATTCAAAAAATGCCTTTTAAAATAAAAAGAAGCCATCCTTGAGGAGAGGCCCTACTCTGAGTATGAGTGGAAGCTTGTACCACTAAGAGCCCAAAGGGCAGAACAGCATTATAGGCCTCCTCAATAGCCTATTTAACAGGGTCTCACCATTCTTCAGTGAGACTGAAAATATTACAAGAATGTGCATGCAAGTCAGGAGACTGACAAACATCCTTTAAGTCGCATGGTATTGTAGTAACAGATATTTAACCAGATTTTGTTTAAAAGGAAAAACAACCCAAAACCCAGCAGTAACTGCCTGTTTAGGTACCTTTTTTTTGCAGAAAGACAGTACTAAGGTACTTTTAAGTTAGTTTTCAGACAGATACATGATGAAAATATCTATGAAATGGTAGTGGGAGCTTTAACCTAGTGCAGTAAGATGTGACCCTCCTTGTAACTGTGTAGAATCAGTTTTAGGAAGAGCTGCAGGAGCTGAACATTTGCCAGTAGGAAGAAGAGGTTTTAGCTAAGCATCCCCTTGCTCTCAGGCTTTGGAGTTTGTACCATAGTACTGTTTCAGGTCAAGACACAAACCAACTTGAATTCAGTACAGTCTATAATTGTTTGGTTAGGACCAACTTAAAGCCCTCATATTAGTTGGTTTAGATCATTTCAGCAATTAAAGATAGCTAAAAGTATATCAAAGTACAGTAGGAGCATCCAAAATGCACCAGTTCAGACTTGTATTACAGTCAGTCACAAGGCATTTGAGAGGGCTGGATATCTTGAACAAGATATTACACCATGCAAGTTGATAGCCAAAAGTTTGTAAGTATACTGACCTTAAGTTCACACTGAAATTGTCTTAAAAGCAATTTAGGGACACTGGAATGTGAAGTCCCTTCATCCCACAGAAGTAGTCAGTGTTTGCATTCTGTTCTTGGGATAACAGCTTTAATTCACAGTCAGATAGGTAGATGATATGGACATTAAAGGTTGAATTTTCCATGTGTCAGTAATAAGATAGCAAACAATTAATGCTACTGTTTGACCATACTCAGAGAATAAGCAGAACTTCAGTTGCATTTCTGGTGCAAAGCCATGCAAGCTACATCCTACATGGGACAAGAGACTGCAGCACTACTGATGAAGCAAATTTTCTATGAAGTGACAAGCATGATTCTCACCATCTCACCTGCTTAAGGATGCTCACAGGAACCACTATCATGAAACCAAACAACATTTCTTTTTTCTTCTTCTTTTGGTCTGACATCAAGAAAAACATTAAGAGTTGTGGGATATGAAGAGTACTTGAAGAAGTATTTTCATTCAGTAAGGAAAAGAAATGGCCATTAAATGACTCTACTGACAGCATATATGTAAACTTCAGGCAGCTCACCTGAGATGCAAACTCTGCTTCACTTCCAGTTATTTCTTCATAATCATCATCTTGCTCACTTTCTTCTTCTCTGGGTACAAGCATTATCTTCCTCTCTGCAAGCTCCTAGAATACAATTGAATTCCCACCAAGACCCCACAGGAATTAAGCACAAACAAGTTTAGCATCAGGACAGTAGAAGCATTTTATTATTTCACTTACCTCACCATCATTGGTGATGAGTGTAACACCAATATTATCTGCAGTTCCCCAAGATTTCTGAGACCTCCATACCAGATCACTAGGACCTGGGCTAACACCAGCAGCTGCACCCCAGATCTGCAACAGATTTACTGTGAGCTTCTGAAGGATCTTCTATAGTCAGATAACAATTCAGTCTAGCATATATAATTAAGTATTTTAATACCACAGACATCCAGTAGGAGAACCACTGTAATCCCTGGCAAGTTAGTTCTTTTCAGGACTACCAAGAATAGTTGGTAAAGATTTTCTACCTGAAGATTGTAAAGCAGTGCAGAAAAGGCTGTTAACAGCTTCTGTCCAGTGTAGAGGTAGCCCTGCTTGGCCACACAGAGCATTTGAGTCACAGAGCCAAGCCATAGTCATAGACATGCTCAGGGCAGCAACTTGTGTGTGCAAGAGCCTCCCACCTGGAGTCACTCACTGATCTGTTGAACAAACTCCTCCACAGTTTGGAGTAGCAGCTCTTTGATCACCATCTACATGTACTTAGAGTACGATTTTAGAGCTAGTATTTCTGTTAGTACTACAAATCATGAAGTCAGCATTGCTGACCTGGAGTAGGCTAAAGGTTTTAGCAAGAGTCTGAGTCTCCACACAACTTTTATCAAGTCACAGGAGTATGGGAAAACCTAAAAAACTCCTAGAATACAATGATTCTGTTTACAATTAGAGCACACTCCACTCTGGGATGATCCAAGTTCAGTTCAAGCTTTAAAGGAAATGTAATTAGCATTTCAGATCAAGTCGCTTCAAGGATTTTCCCCCTATCTATCAACACATAAGAGCTTTAGTTCTTTAGACACTTGGAGTCTATTTAGTTTTCCATATTACAGGAACCTCTACTGACATCTAACATAAGAGCAGGGCTCTGAGGGAGCTTTACAAACCCAATACCTACTGTAACTTCTTGGCCTGCCTGAAGAGTGAACCTTGAAGGAAACTTGTAATTAACATCTGCCACACTTCCAATACGTCGTCTCAACACCCAGCCATGTAGAGATTGATCCTGTGAGACAAGAAATTTCTCTCAGCATTACAGACCAACACCAGATAATTCAAACACAAGGTTCTTCCCAGACTCATGGTCCAGTTTTAATCCCACTCATGTAGCATACAAGTATTGGATGATTTTGAGAAGCAATTTGCCATGGCCACCTACCAACTACATATACATATATATTTATGAGCACCTTAAAACTTCATGGGCCATTCTGTATTTCAGGTACTTTAATAATGGCTAAACTACAAGCCATATGTTTGAAGTCCTGATGATGAACTCTAATAGTTCTGGATTTTCAAACTAAACTAAGTGGAAGAATTAGCTAATTGGCCAGATAAACCCTCTGCATAGATTAGATATCACCAACTGTATTTAACCTTTCAGCTGTTTTAAGTATTTTCAACTAATTTGAAAACTATCCAATTTACTATTGGATAGTTTTTTTCCTATTTAGTTCATCGAAGGTGAGTAGTACTCCTGGTAGTGTTAGCCTGAATTTGATGTTCAATTTCTGCATAATAGAAGTCCCTGCACCTGCACCCAAAAGCATGTCCCAGACAGCCCTGGGAACAGAGCACCTGCAGTACCCAAAGGTCAGTCTCTAGTCTGTCACTAAGCCAAAGCCATCCCTGAGCAGCGATACATTACAATGCAGACTTGAAATGCAAGTACCTCATTAGAGTGGTTTTTAAGCCTGACAAATTTCCCATCTGCATCAATCTCTTCAATAGATATATTTCCAGTAGCTGAAACATGCTGAATAGTCTTAAGTGCAGCACTACGCTCCCTCTTCTTGGTTTCTTTGATTTTCCTTTTCTTCCCATGCAGGTATCGTCGGCCCTGGCTTGCTGCTTGAATTGCTGTGCTGTGTGAAGATGGACTGGGTGACAGCTTTAGCCTAGAAGGGAGTCAGATAACATTCACCTGAGTATCTGCTGTGCTTTGCTTCTTTTCATGCCTGCCCTCCCACTACAACCAGGCCTAACAGCTTCCTATATCCAAGCTTTCCATTGAGTCTTAAATACAAAACTTTACTTTTATTGCCAAGAGTAGCTAAGTGGTTTGTTTAGTTTGGAAGACAGCCCCAGAGTCCAGAGCAGGCTCATATTGATAAGAGAAGATTCACAACTGCACTAAATATTCCTTTAAAGTCTCAACAGACACAAGGCTTGTGAAAATCATTTTAAGCTTTTGACCCTTCCTGGCATGTATTGAGAGTGCATGTTCTCACCATGCATGCAAGATACCATGTCTCCATAGACAGGAGTTGATCCAAGTTCCCAGCTTCATTCATGGAACTTGAATGCTCTTCATCTCTAAGATGTTGCACTTTGAGAAAGCTGAGGAATGTTTAATGGACCTTTGAATTTTATCAGCTGGATTTATGACATTACTTCATCTTACTACACCATGTGGTAGATGTGGGACATAAGTGCCATTTACAGAAGATGATGCTTCAGTAACTGAAATACTGTATTAATGATGTGCTTAATGTTTGTTTCTCATTCTGAAGGATAGAGTTAGTGTAGAGGACTTGAATGAAGCAAGTTCTCATAATGAAGATCATAGCCTACCTCTGTTCCTCTCCTTCCAACATCTTTCTGTACGCATTTATTTCCAAGTCTAGAGCCAGTTTCACATCTAAGAGCTGCTCATACTCTTCCAGCTGTGCTTGTGCCTGCCTCTGAGCTTGTGCAATTTCTTCCTCCTTTTCAGCCATACGCCGTCGATGGAGATCACGATCGTAATCCAGCAAATTCTGTAGCTCCTTTAATTTGCTCTCCAAAGCAACAGTCTAAAATTAAGGGGAGAGGGGAAAAAAAAATTTTAAACCATATGTGAAGATTAGAGAGAAGAGGCCAATATTTTGAATTGAGAATAAATTAAAATAATAAGGTTATACAAATAAAGACAGAACCTGGCTTTGATATTGATTAACTTGAGAAAGCAGAGTATCCACTTTCTTCTGTTTTTCCATCAGCTCCTCCCGAGCAGCATTGGCAAACTCACAGTTCCTTTGTGCAGTCAGCTGGGCATTCTCCACCTGTGAATAAGTCACTGTTAGTCCTGAGTTGCACATTATCATGTATTATAAACAAGGAAGGAACACCAAATAATTTTCACCTGTTACACCTGGAAATAGTTATCTTTTCCTGAAGTGTGCAGATAACAATAAAGTCCAGGTCAGAAAGTTCTGTATAGCTTTCCAGGGAGGTTTACACAAGTTTGACATTTATATCAGAAAGTCAGCAATAATCAGGTAGCGAAGATTTCTGGATTAGGGTATTTCAGTTAGTAATGTATGAGGACTCTGTATGGATATTAAGTAAATTGATTCTCCAGAAGACCAATGGAGAATATGTTTACAAGCTGCTTGTCAAAGTGTAGAACTGCAGGATATTGGGTGTACAAATCAAACTGTTATTACTCTTCACCAAAAGGTCTATTAGTAAAGAGTTCCTGCATTTTTACAAGGAGCATTGAATTGTTCTACAAATATCTCAGTCTTGAGATATCCCAAGAAAGGATAAAGTGCTCCTTCAAGAGCAGAATTTTCAGTGGAAACAGAAAATTTCCCTTACAGAATTTTCAGTGGAAACAAATACAGACACCCAAAGGAATTCCCTGAGTTGGCATGCAAGTTGGTGTGTAGGAAAAGTTAGATTTTATTCAAGACTGAAATTGCTTAATACAAACATAACACACCTTGGTCCTGAATCTGTCAGAAGTCTGAAATATGACCAACCTTTAATCCCTCCCTGTATTTATGCCTGAACCAGTTTTGTTTGGGATCAAATGCTGGCAGAAATCCTACTGTCAAATTTGACACTGCTTTGAAATTCCATAACAAATTAGGCCAAGAAGCTGTGCAGTGAATGCAGGGGCTCCATTATCAGCTGTGTTTGCCAGTGTGACCTTAATTATGTCAAGGTGCAGAGAACTTCAGTTTTGTTTTACTGTCATCTTTTCCAAACTCACCTTTGCACTGAATGTTCGCTCCATCTCCTCTTTGTAGCCTTGAATTTGTTCTTCATGCTGTTTCCTGAGCCCCTGCAGAGCATCTGAGAGCAAGCTCTCAAATTCTCTTTGAAAGCCAGATTCTACTTCTGCTATCCTGCTCTCATGGACTCTTTTTGTCTCCTTGAGCTCCTGGAAAAAATTTCTCAGAGAATAAACAAGCCAATACAGTTTGAAACTGGATTTAGTGTACCAGCTTCACAAGTCCATCCCTTTTGAAGCAGATTTATCACTGAGTACACAGTAATTCATCTTTATGCATATCTTATTCACCCATTAAGGCTGGCACATCCACCTTGCTGCCTCACTATTGTTTTTCCACCTCACTGCCAACATTGCTTAAACTAAAATATAGTAAATATTTAATTTGCAAGACTAATGCTTTGAACTAGATAGATTGTTTGGTTTTGTAACTTAGAACACATGCATATACAGTTCAGTTTCATTAAGCACTGTTACTTCACCTGTTCTTGTTTTATTCAAAAAGTAGTAGCAGTTAGTTAGAAAAATTAGAGTTCTCTATCAAACTGCACACTTTGAGATTCCTACCAGTAAGAAGGAAGCTGGTTTACATTCATATATCAATTATTCATTTAGTTGTATGTACTGACTTCTCTCACAAGGGTTACCAGACACCTCTGAGAAGTGCCAAGAAATTTGGGAACACAAGTTGCTTCAAGAAGATTTAACTTCTCATACTTTAGGCTTCAAGTAAACATCTGGAACCATTTAACAGTAACTAATATAGGCACTATCACCTACACAACATAATATATTGGGATTTCAGTTCTCTTTAGAAAAGCAGCCTAAGAAATTTCTCATATCCCAGATACCTATTGGTACTATCCCAGTTAACATGAGGTCAAGTACTTTCTTGAGCCTTCCTATTTAGGTGGATGTTATGAGCTGATGGGCTGCCACAGGTTGCTAGTTAACTTTTTAGAGAAAAAAGCAATGTTAAGATGGGCTTTAAGTGCATCCAAGGATCATGGACACCTAAAAAGATGCCTTGTTAATAAGCTAAAACATACATCTTCATGAAGGTGCTTCTGGAACGTCATTTCTTCCAGCAATGTTTTCATACGGTTTTCTAGGTCCACCCTCCTCAACATTTCACTGTGGAGATGCTTTTTAGTATCCTCCAGTGACAGATTAAGCTGGAAAGACAGACAGAGTTATCAAAATTAAGAGGTATTTTTTCAAATTAGGCAGCAAATTTGTTACAGGTCATTCAACTTAATTACCCCAGCAATCAAAACACATTGGTTGAATGAAGTGGGTTACTCTTAAGTTCCTGTGTCAGTGGGATCCAAATATCAGCAACAGATAGTATCCTATCTAGTTGTTATGTAGACTAGATTTCCCACAAGGGAAATATAGAACAGCCCTTAATCCCACCAGCTAAATTTGACTCCTCAAAGTAGACTTCTGATGAATCAATTGTACTATTCATATATATTTCTCCCCTTTTAAACTGTAATTATTCCAAACTTCTTCCTACTAATATAATTTTTGACACTTAATCCTCTAAATACAGCCTTTGTTGACAAATTAATATACACTTTCAGTATTACACACTTCTCTGATGTGTTAGAGAATGCTACAGGGACTATAGCAGAACATTTCATCTTGCTTTGACTCTGGAACAAGAAACATTACATCCTATGTTCATAGAATTAGAGGTACCTACAACCTTTAGGTGGAAGTTTTAAGGAAACCACCATCAGTAGCATTTGCTGTCAGCAAGGTTTTTGTCCACCTGTCACTGTCATAGTTACCAGGCCTTCTCTGCTTTTAAATATCAATAACTGAGGAAAATGAAGCAAAAACTGCAGGAGGAAAACCCAAGTTTAGATTCCAACAGCAAGCCTTACACTGAGTACTTGATCCTTTAATTCACGGAGCTCATTCTCCAAAGTCCGGTTCTCATTCAGGGCTATTGCTAAATCAGCTTCCTTTGCATTTAGCTGGGCATCGAGGTCTCTCACACGAGCCTGGGCCACGTTTAAATCACTTTCCTTTTTGGAATTCCTACAGGAGAGAGTTTTACACTGTTAAGTGCAGCTAGCGTGGGAGAATTTGTCCTCAATCTGTTTCCCTTCAGAGGGCTCCGTGGTTAAAGACAGGAGAGGTTTGTCAGGCTCACGGTGAGAGCAGAAAACAAACCAGACCGGGCCCTCCGACAAGCATCATTTGTTACACCGGAGAGATTCCTGACCCATTTTCCAGCTCGTTCAGAGCGGAGCCCAAGCGGAAGCCAGCTATTTTCCACGGCATTCCCGAGGGGAGAGGAAAGGGACGGCACAGGCCCCCGGCTGCACGGGGAGGGCTGGGCACGCTCAGCG